TAACAGCTATTGTAATCGATATAATAATCAATATAATAATCTATATTGTTATCGATACAATAATGGATATTGTTATCGGTATAATAATCGATTTAATAATTGATTTATATTGTTATCGATATGTACAATAATCGATACTGATGATTGTTATATTTATCGATGAATTAATCGATTATGCAATCGTTGTATTTTTTTATACGTTTATGGATATCGTTATCGGTATTTTTATCGGCACAGTTATCAACAGGGCTATCCATATAATAATCGGAACATGGAATGTGATCAAATTAAATGACATCACATCACATAATATCACATGATATGAAGAGACATCACATGACTTGACATCACATGATATATCATCGTATGATATGACATGGCATTACATGACGTGGCATCACATGATATGACATCATATAGTATGACATCATATGAAATGACATCAGAGGATATGACAACACATGACATGACATCCTATCACATCACATAAAATCACGTCACATCTTATCACGTCATAGCACCTCATCTCATCTACGTGAATAGAAAAAGAAAAGGATACAAGTAAAGATGTCAAAGATAAAAACAAAGATGAAGACCAAGGTAAAGTTACCGATTTCAAAACCAAAAACACCGTTGGAAAGGTAATTTTCTGTAGATGAGGAGAGTTTTTGTAGTTTCGAAATTGGTTGAAAAGCGTCGTTTAAAAATTTCCATATTTGTTTATGGTTGTTTTTGCAACCTGTCCAATTTAAGCTGTTTCGCATTTTGTTTTACTTCGTATTTGAAATTAAACTTTGAAATAAAGATAAATATGAAGATGAAGATGAAGAAACAAGTGATAACGATGAAGACAAAAAAGAGGCAAAAGTGAAGATAAAGACGGAAATCGAGATAAAGGAGAAAATGGAGACAATGGGAAATACATAAGACTTATGTTAAAAGATAGGAATAGAAATAAAATCAGCCAAAAAGGTTACTGAAATTTATCGAATCATCTAAGTTTATAACTATCGAAATTTATCCATGCTTATTAAGTTATCGCAACGTATCGATTTATTCAAACTGATCAATGTTTACTGAGTTGTCGAAATTTATAGACACATAAACTTAGTTGTCCAAATTTACGGATAGTTAACTGCTATAAAAACGTGTGGGATTAACGAAATTTGTCAAGTTAAAGAAATGTATCAAGTTATCGATATTTATTGAGTTATCATTATTTATAGACTTAACAAAATATGTCGAGGGGTCGTAATGCATGGAGTTCTTTCAACTTATAGAGTTATCGATAATTATTGATCTACTGAAATTGGTTGGTTCAACGAAGCAAAGTTTATGGAATTTTCAAAATATATCGATTTGCCGAAATTTCAAGGTTATATAAGCTTATCGATTTATCACTGCTTATCGAATTTAATCGTCTTAACAGAGTGTAACGAGTTATCAAAATGTTTAGATAGTTTTCGAAAAATGTGGAGAGGTCAAAAGTAAAAATTTATAAAGGTATCAAAAGCTTTTACATTTTTGAGTTATCGAAACTTATCGAGCCATCGAATTTCACAGTTATCGAAATTGGTCGAGTTAACGAATTTTAGTGTTCTTGAAATTCACCGAACTACCGATGTGTATCTAATCATCGGAATTTATCGATAAACTTGCATGAATCGGGTCAATTCCAAGTCCTGCCGAAGTCCTCCAAAGACTTTCCAGATAAAAAAAAAATTAGTTACGTTTTAGCAGAAGATTTTCCGCTTAGTTAATTTGTACCGTATAAGTATCGCTACCTCTCCAAGGCTTCTAAAACTAGAAAAACTGTCGAATTTCGACAGTAACTGGAACTCTAGTTTTATTTGAAAAGACTGCCTAAATTTTGGAAATCAGACAGCCAAGGTTTATGGTCACTTCATGTGATCGGAAATATGCAAAACTTTAGCTCGAGATGATTTTGAATATTTTCGCTTTTTAACGGATGTTGTGCTATCAGCCTTCAGTTCAAAAGTGAATACCTCGCTGCAATAAGTTTGAAATTTCCATTAGTACTGTTTAAAAAAATTAACTAACTATTTTATCGCACCTTCAGACAGCCAAGGTATATGGTCACTTCATGTGATTGGAATATGCAAAACTTTAGCTCGAGATGATTCTAAATGTTTTCGCTTTTTAACGGATATTGTGCTATCAGCCTCGGATTCATTCTTCTTCTTTTCCTTTTCTAACCCAGCTGTACTTTCATCTTGATTTTCACTATTTTAACCACTGATTCATCCTGAAATTCAGCTGGAGATGTTCTGAGTGTTCTCGCTTTTTAACGGATATTGTGCTATCAGCCTCGGATTCATTCTTCTTCTTTTTCTTTTTCTTTTTACCCCACCTGTACTTTCATCTTGATTTTCACAAGTTTTAACCACTGATTCATCCTGAACTTCAGCTGGAGATGATTCTGAGTGTTTTCGCTTTTTAACGGATATTGTGCTATCAGCCTCGGATTC